TCCTGTATTGCCATTTTCATTCTCACAGCCTCATTTGTGCTGAATGTGAATGTCGTTTGGAATTCTTGTCGTTCAGGGCGCGTTCAATCCAGACGACATATGAAAAGCAAAACATACGTCGAATATCGAATGTGAACATTTATAATACTTATGTGTCGATTTATGACCCAAACCAACGCATTTTTCCACTTAAGACACACCATTTTTCCGCGCCATTTGCTCGTAAATTGAGAATGTCAGTAATATAATAAAATCACCAAAGAAGACCTCACGACATTCCATACATGCGCTGAGAGTTCGGTTTTTTGCATATGAGAAACGAGAAGAAAAAATCGATTGAATCAAATGAAATGCGAAATCAATGCTTCTAATCAACGTGTATGCAGCAAACAAAATTGCAATTTAATCATCCTTTAATTGATATACTTTGGAACGTATATTGGGTTGTCTGCATAAAAAAAAAAAACAACTGTCTGCCGAGCGATATTTATTACACTGTAAAATGATTGAAGTAAACAGTCTGTATTATTTATGTGTCTGATTGTTGTGGCTTCATTTTTATTCATTGCTCGGTCATTTGAAAAGCGGAAGAACATTCCTAGATTACAAATGTCGGCATTTATGAAAAGGCCTTCATTTCGAAAGATTCAAACATATTCAGCGGTAATACTTGCACATACACACAAAGAATAAAAAAATACAAACAATGCACATGTTACCATCCTGCTCATTTGTTACTCCAGCAAGAAGAAGTGCATACAATGCGCTGGCTTATTTGCCAAATGCAGAAAAAAACTGTTTGTTTACTAATGTCGAAGAGCACAGTGCCGCCTTGTCGAAGAGCATAGTGCTTTTTGTTGTGTTTTTGCTGTGGCAAGTCCAAAGACACTAAAGACTTTGTCAACGTGATGTGAGGTTTTTGTGTGGCTTTGAACTAATGACAACCTCATTTAGAAGAATGAAAAAGGGAAAGAATACCATGAAGAATACGAAAAAAAAAAACATTTTGACTACATGAACTATTTTTTTGGGAAAGATATATAGCAGTTTTTGGTGTGCATTATCCATTGCTATCGTAGCAGATCCGCACTACTTGAAATCGAACAATGTTTTTGTTTTTCTAAATAATATGGAAAACAAAACACAGACGCAAAAAAACATCTACAAAGTAGGATTTGAATGGTGCATTGATGTGCGGTTGGATAGTTCCTTAACGAGGACTATGATTTACAGCTAAGAAATCAGCCGAAGGTATAAATATAGCATATATGCTAATGTTTGTGAAGTACTATCGAGACTCAGCACGGCGCCACTAACTTCAAATATCATAAAACTGATTGAATTTTTTTTTTCAACAACAAACATCCAATCAAGTCTCAGACCCACATGAACCATAAAACAAAATGCGAACGTAGTGTTTACGCAAAACCAAGCCAAACTTCTTCTTCCTTTTTTACTTTTCTTCAAACAGCCTTTCTGATCATGAAAATAGTAAACAATACAGCGCCGCCTGGGGATTAAGTGCAATGTGTCATACCACAGTCTATTTTCATTCGGTTTGCAATAGTGACGCGTGTGGTATAATTCTGAACTATTTTTATGACCTGTCTATTCACCACCTGCTTTTCATTTGTTCTGAATAATAACTATCTAATTGATAATTTATTCTTTTGTTCCAATAAATACATGCATTTTTCAGAACTAAAAAATTAGACAAATTTATTTTTAATCAGTTTACGTGTAAAAAATGGAAATCTCGTAAGGCCTGCTTCAGCAGTCACATTTTCTTTGTTGACGAAATTCACCAAACAGTGCAGCTAATATAAAAAATTCAGAGCTCGCCAATCACTGACATTAACTTACAACTAATTTCACAATATTTTTTTACTATTGCAATAACTACTCGACCAATATTTAATCTTTCTTCCTATTTGTAGACATGAGTTTCTCATGAGAATACTGATTAACTGATTAGCTCTTCTCACCTCAGAGTTTATGGTAAAAAGTAGTTACGAATTTTGCCGTATCTGTGATTGCATTTATTCGTTGGCTCTAATGTAATGTCGCAAACCTTTAACTGTTTTCTCGACTTTGTAAGGATTTTTGTTAATGCAATTGGGCTATGTGTCATACTTTCAACGTTTGAACTAAAACAGACGCACTAACACAGACGCGTACTTGTTATAGCAAACTATGATTCTCTATTTCTCCAACCAGTCTCCAGGTGCCGCTTTATTGTTCTTGTTTGAAGTTTCGTATCTGTTTGTACAGACAATCAGAGAGGCTGTCTTCAAATAATAAATTCTGGTAAAGTTTCATCGTATTTTCATGTGAAGATAATGAAAAGTATCGAAGAGCAGAAATTATTTATTTTTGAATTAATTGTTTTAGTTATTTTCTTTTGATATAGCTCTCTTTCTCTCTGAATAACGAAAGAGTAGAAAAACGTAAATTATAATTATACAATATGTTTTAAGCGAGTTAAAAAATATTCGATTCGACATATTCATATGACTATTTTTGAGTATTGTAATAGTGTAGCAGTAGCTGCGGTTACATTAAAAGATCTGCATTAATACAAGTTGAAAAAGTAAAAAAATCTGTGGTAACCCATTATTATCATTATTCTTTATTGCCATTTGTTTGAAATGTGGTATATTCAGAAGACGGCTTGGTGGGGATAATCTCTGAAAAAACCTCATGAATGTTAAAGTTTTTTGTACCAAATTATTCCGAATGTTGATGATCACCGCATCGATCTAGTTTGAGGCGAGGCGTACGCAATGATAACTATCTATAACAAGCGCATATGCACAATTGCACACATATGTATTAGCATGGGGCTGCGTGTGATGAACTTCTGCATACTAAAAACCGGTCATAATGCAATTCGCAGATCATTAAATTACTATTTAGCATAACAATGTCGTAGCGTATGCATTAGCATAAATCATATGTGACCGAGAGAGAAAAGAGGTATGAGGGAAAGAAGCAAAAACGAAGAAGTGCCGGAGACATTGAAATATCAATAAGAGGAAAAGAAAAAAACAATGACAAACCACCCGAGCTGAAAATGTTGAATCGGAAAACAAAGCCGGGTTCAGCCGTTCAATGTTATATGTGAAAATGGCATGCGAGCAAATGTCTGCAATGTCATGATGTTCAACATCGCAGCAACTGTTGTTTTGCCCATTTTCAAAATATTTATGTTTGTGCAATAGAGTACTAGTATTCACTGTTGAAATTGTTCGGTAATCAAATTCAAAGTAGATCCTTCCAACGAATGACATTAGGAAGTTACGTTAGTTGGGAATTTTGCAAATAACCGTACTACCGCGGTGCAACATTGACAGCAGAATTGAAAAATGACTTGGTACATTCAAAGGTTAAAGAGAGCCCATTTGTCATCTGTGGCTACTGCTTGTTGCCGAGCATGTTGTTTGCCACATGCACATGGATATTTGTTATTTGCTCATTGTAAATATGCAACAGTAGAACGTTTGTACGGTGGCGTCTACGTAGACAGTGCGTAACCAATGCGAATTACCGATTCAATTCGCATTTTGTGAGTGAACAGTGATAAGAACACAGCGTGACATTAGCTAAACATTTCCAGTAAAACTACACTCAATCCCATTTTGCACAATGTGTATGTGTTCTATGAAATGTTTTAATCTATGTTCTAAGTAACTAAATGTGATTTTGCCCCAGATAGTAATAATGACCGAAAACATTTGTCATTAGATGGATGTCGCTCTGATGTGATGAACAAAAAGTTACTTTCCATTTAGTGCGGTTGATAAAAAAAATACGACATCCACGAGCATTTGTGAAAGTCTATGATGTGGCCGATGTAATTATTTAATTAAAATGTTTCGCGTCGGTTTTTCGTTTCTTCGATAGATGCCATATACTAACATACGTACGCACGCACACACACATTTAATTCATAGTTCTGGCAACTCAAATGCAATCAAGTGTCGCAACTATATCAACTTAGTCAGACTGAACATGGTTCAGTCACTTAATTCAAACAATCAAATGCCATACGAAATAATAACAATGATATGAAGTACTAGAAATGCGTCGATGAAGTGGAACTGTTTTTAGAATAAAACAGCCGTTGCGCAACGGCAACAAAATGCATATAACCATTGGTTGACGATAAAAAGACGACCGAATTGGATGTTTGAATGTAATAAAACGGGCTAGAAAATAGCCCAATAATCTTTCAGTAATCTACTATATAAGGTATTGAAACCATACAACAAAAATATATATACGCTTTTCTAATGTTTCAAGTCCATTGTTCAAATCAACACCAGCCCATTGATCATTTAGATTAGAAGTAAAAGAATTCGTTTCCACTGATCACTTGATACATATATGGTCTTCACACATTTCTAACATTTGGAGCAAGTGTTTCGACGAAAATATTTCGCTCTCAAAATATATATAGAAAACTATCGATAAAAGTGTAGATGAAGGCGTAAACTACTCACCAGTCCGAGGGGTAGAATGAGTCCAGTAATATAGAGCATCCAGCTTCGAACGGTTGAATCATGGAATGGATGCTTAAGTGATTCGTCATCGCAGAAAAATCCTCTTTTGTATGGATCACCCCATAAGAAGAGCGCTAAAATTGGCAGGCCAACTGTAAAAAAAACAGTCATAAATGAAAAAAAAAAATCACAAAAAAATAAGAGAAAAAAGTCATTGGTAAACTGTTGAAAATAAAAACCAGCATACTAATGGATCTTAAATGGATTTATCAAATTATCAAAAGACGATCGTCACAGCATCATATGAGTAGTTTGGAGCGAAATGTTATACAGAAAAGTTGAGCGAAAAAATGTCGATGATGAATGAGCGGAAAAGGGATAGCTATATAGTAAACTGTATAGCTTTATCTTTCCATTTGACATTTTTTCTCTCAACTTTTCTGTATAACATTTTCGCTGCAAACCACTCATATCATTAATAAAGAAACGAAAAGTATAATAATATTAATGGTCTTCTGAAATCAACGTCATAAAGGCATTCCAATAAGGATTACAATTGCAGACATGCAATCGTTACCATCATTATATATACCTCTCTTTCCCTGCTTGTTCTCACACATTGACCGAATTTTTCCTTTAACACACGATATTATTCAATTATTACCGTCATGATCAAAACGAATTGATTATAATTTTTATTTTTTTTATTTTTAGATAAAACATAAGTAAATGACTTTTTTCATTTTTTTTCCTTTTCGTCCAGTCATTTGTGGAGTTCTTGAAATCATGAATACAGGTAGAAAAAACCGGTAAAAAGGCACAAAAGATACGAATGAAAATCAAATTCTTTTAACGGATTTTTTTTCTCGTCCGTCTCTTTTATACTGATCGACGTGAAGTCGATGTGAGAACAACATAATTCGGGAAGCCGAATTAAATATTAAGAATAAGAGTTAAAGGATAGAATATTATCCAAATAATTTATTATGATTGGATGTGTTTTTTTTTGTAATTTTTTCTGTACAGTCTGATGTCTTCATTGCGATCAGTTTTCACATCGGATTGAAATCGAGTCTATATCTAGTATAGTATGTCTTTTCTTTATTTTTGTTTTAATTTCTTTTAACAAGAAATTTTAAATATATTTTTTTTTGCCGTTTCACTCTGTGTTAATGCATTATGAATTTAATGCAAAATTGCGTCAGTATAAGAAGTTATGAAATTCAAAAAAAATCTGTTATTTAATTAAATCAGTAATATTTTGAATCCCTCAAATTAAACTCGAACTATCTCTCAACTTAAAACGAAGTATGTTCAAATCGAAGCGCGTTATTCGTAACTATTTCGAATGTGAACGGATTTGCTATGTTATTTATAAAAACTAAGTTAAACATTACTCAACTTTGTTCTTGAATTCCTTCTCCCACATGCGGTTACAAGTTCAATGTTCTTCAGCCACAGTGAATACAGTAATTTATTCAAACTCGGTTTTAAAACGCAAATGATGCAATACAAATTGGTATATGACTCCACTTTTCGCCATTGAATTGAAAAAATATGAAATGTGACACTTATCATGGCATTAACTTTGAAAATATCTTTAAAAACTGTGTCATTTGGTCTTTGTATTACATACTAGTAAAAAACATTTTAATCGGCACCATTTCAAAACGAGATATTTGAACTAATTTGAAAACTATTCATTATGATTTTGTGACTGAAAATTTAAGTAAATATGAATATTTCGACTCTAGTAATCTAATAACATTCATAATGTTAGAGTTTCTTTTTTGTTTGGTATATAACGGTTAAATGAAATAATAAACAATGTTACAATTATCCATTCAAAATGACTCATATCAAAAAAAATCTGACATGTAATTCAAAAACTGCAGTGGCCCATGGTACAAAGTCATTTCACACCTGTTTTGGGCTTATTTACTTAGCAAACATAAACAAGCTCACCTGTATTAAAAATATAAGGGTCCAAAAATAATGTGGATCTACTAATGCATTTGTTGTAAATTATCAATGATTCCATGTGTTGGACATTCACTGTTCGACTTGAATGCATTTTGTGTAATTGTTAAACAAAGAATTTCCGTTTGGTATTTAGAAACGAGACATTTATCTTAGTTTATAGTGTGTCTGTTGTGAGTGTCAATTCAGAGAAGTGTTGTAAAAATGAAATGTCTTGAACCGCAACTTCAAATAGAGTCTCTTCCCGAAAAAAATATATCACAGAAACATTAGTTAAACAAGTGTTGTATTTTCCCATGTAATTATTCCCAGTGCAGCTGTTTACGGTTCCCACATGCTCTGGACTTGAACTGTGTTTTATTAGACCACATGATGCCTTGAAGCAGAAGAAAAAAATCGCAATTGAAAAAAGATGCACTCGCATTTGTCTTTTAATATCGTGAGACAAATGCGAGTGTTTAGATGATATTCCCTATCTAAAGAAGAGCATACATGTATTCTCGAGATCCTTTTGAGTTAATTTGGAATGTATAGCATTCCATAAAAACTTCATACTTAAGATCTTACTTGAGATCGCAATCGATTAACTGGTTTACCAATTAATGCATTTCAAATCGACTAATTTCACGTTGCAATGTCAAACATGCTTGTAATGTCGTTATTGTCGTATTAGGAATGGAAATCCTTCTTCGGATATTCTCTTTCAACTATCAAATTCTCTTCCATCGAGTATTTGATTTCGATGTATGGTATTTTCCGTTCATTTTTCGGATTTTTTTCGACATTTCTTAGCGAGTCAATCGTCTTAATTTGACGTGAATAGAACTAAAAATAGGTTTATTCTGTTCGATGTTTTCATTGGATATTTCGACATTGGAATGAGTGATTACTGAATAGAAAGGTTCTTTCAGTTGTGCAGCTATGACTTTTCAAAATTTCGTCCAACTACCTGACAACGATCGGTAGCTTTCGGTTGCACTGCGATGGCTCAAAACGGATAATGCGATCGAGGTAACACAATTGTTCTAGTTCTTGCTATTCTGTAGCTACTTTTCGGCAGAATGAATATCGTGCACGGTGTAGCAAATCGTATTCTCGGTGCTTTTGTGTCTGATCGAAAATGTTGACAATGGGCAACAAAGACACGAAGTGAATAATGAACAAAATAAAGCAGGAAAAAATATGAACAGAGGATGTATGCTGTACATTGTTCGAACAATAGATGTTCACACGTATGATGAACGAAATCCTTTGCACGGTACATTTTCCCCCTCATCGTATAGCCAAAAAAGATTATTTTTAGTGTTTTCCAGTCAAATAGATTTTGTATTCATTTATTGCTGAAAAGTCAGAATTCGTAACATTTGTTGTTGCTTTTGCCGACATTGATCGGCAATGAATTAATGGTATATTCTACCTTTGTGCACTCGATTGTTCATAATTTTTGTTACGCAATGCAACAATTTTTATTGCAATCTTGCCCATAAAAAACCTATTCGCTTTCATTGTTGTACAGACTCAATGCCAGTGGTTTTATGCCAAATCCCAGTTTTCATACTGTGATCCAGAGCATTGTGTGCATTTTTTATCTCTTTCTTTATAAAATGTGATTTTCACCGGGAAGACGAAGATGACTATTGCCGAGACGGGGTTCTTTTCAATAGTTTTTTCTCTTTCGGGTCGTGTGAATGGCAGAAGAATGTTACTAAGCAGCGGAAAACGCGTACAACATTGTTCATGTTCGAGTTATGTGTGAACGATGGGTGTTTCGCGTCTCAAAGCGAATAAGTGAATTACGAGGTGTGCAGTAACACAAAATTGAAAACAATAAACTACTCCGTTGGAACCGCAACATAAAATAAGCAACATAATGAAACTGTGATTTCAATGAAAACGAAATATTGAGTTGCGTTAAAATATGTGCTGCATCTGGCCTGATGACAAATTGAAAGCATGCTGCCATTTTGGCAGTCAGATATCGCTTTTCAACGCGACCATTAAAATGCACATTTAAACATTTCTTGCGACTCTAGGGACAAAGAGAAATAGATATTGCAGTCCTGTTATTGAATGCAACATTGTTTGCCGTGTTAATGCGCTTGACGAATGAATCGACAAATTCATGAGCTTCCCATTAAGCGTTAATTTTAATGCATTGATCGTTTGTATTGTGATTAGAATATATGAGAAAAACCGTCGCAAACCATTCCGAAATAACCGAATAAAATTGACTGTTCCACTGGCAATACGAATGTATCGTTCTGACTATGTGTGCGCGATATAACGATCATTAACCCTTTGATGCACAATTTTTTGTTTTTGAATCATTTTGATATATGTTTTGTGCCGCGATAAATAGAGAAAGACCTCATACTTAAATTTTTGAAAAATTGCGTATTTGTCGAGAAAATCGGAAAAGAGTCAAAAGTGTCAAATCACTATAAAGGCTTGAAAAAATTAAATTTCATAAAACTAATGATGCAGAAAGTTAAATTGATGTGTTTTGGTCCTACAAGTCCTAATTTGACAATTGGAAAGAATGTACAAACCTACAAGATAAGAGGAGGAAAAATGTGGAATTCTGCTATAATTTCGCATTTTTTTTACAGCAGTACATGAACAGAAAAAACTTTCCATTCAGCCAGCCAATTGTAGCCTGTAAAGTATCAAATAAAAGCTAGTTCAATTCCTTACATTTGTTTCCAAACAAGAATGTAAAAATATTCAGTGGTTTCATAGCTATAGCGTCTGGCGTATCTGGTTACTTTAGGAACCGAAATGTGATAAAGGGTTAAAGCGGCTGCATATCAACCGTTCTATATTTTACAAATAATGGCATTCTTTGAATAGGAAACACCACAATTCTGAAAGTAAAATGAGTAGAAGTGACGACAGCCATTCAATTAATGAATGGCCATCGAATTTAGTCGGACCGTTAGAAATGCGTTGATATGCATATTGAAATAACAATCGATCCAACGGATTGCTTTTACCTTGATCGACCTACCTTAGCTAATCTATTCCCTTTTTCCTTCTTTGAAGATAGAGAATTTTTTTCTGTTGTATAAACCAATGTGCCTGCTAATCTCATTCGGAAATAAAAGTTGACATCGATTTTTTTCGCATATACGTTTGGTTTTTTTTGCCGAATATGTGTCAACTGGCACACACC